CAATGAAAGGAAGACTGTGATATTCTTTATCTTTACCATAGTTTTTGCTTGTTTATTGGCTGTATTTGTGTTTGTTATGGACACTGAAAGCTAAGGGCTAGACCCAGCCCTCATACCACTCCAGGTCTTTTTTTTTTCAGAGAATGAGGTCTGGTTTGGGTCCATGACCCCCAAAATGTTAGTAAGTGTAACTTATTTGTAGATTCCCTTGATGGGGATTTTCTTTCTCTTGGCTTAAAAGTAATTCATTAAGAAAAACCTATGGGCTTCTGTTTTAGGGGCATTTAAATGTGTTACTCCATTATTTTATTTAAACAGATAGAAGGTGAAGAAGGGGCTAAATGAGTAGAATAATGACTTCTACTTATAAAAACCTCTACTTAGAAAAAAATATATAGATTTTTAAAAAAATCTAGCCATATAGGTCCATACATTTGTTTTGCATTTCTACATAGATATAAAAAGTTTTATAAACTCAGAAAATATTGGCCTTTTTAAAATGCTAAATTGGTCAAATCCTCCTTGAAAGGCTCTCCCTGTGTACGTTATAACCTGGACCTAAGCTACCTTCCCAGTTTATCCGCTGTGTCTCTCCAGTCATACCCTGCAATCTGGAGACACCGGGCTGGGCGAGCTTCCTAGATCCACCATGTTTCACACTTGTCCTCACCCCACTCATGTGTCTGTGCTGCCTGCTTTGACTAGATGGCCAGCAAGGGGAGGTGCTGTTCTGGCTGCTCTTCTCACAGGGCTTACTCTGTTGGCCTTTGAGACTCAGTGGCTTCTTATCTGGCGGTCTGAATGCTGTCGCTGCTGTGGTCTGTGGGTGTTTATCTCGCGGTGCTGCGGCTGCCTGCGTTCTCCTTGGACCTCTTCTTATCAACTGTGAGTCCCCGAAGGATGGATTGGATTCATCTTCGGCTGCCACTCAGCAGCAACTCAACCTCTCCTCCAGATTATTCCCCGAAGATTGCTCGATCATTTGCTGTTTTCTTCAGAAAATAGAACCAGACTTCAAATGTAGAGTGGTGATGAATTATTTGTCCACAACTCTCCAACCGTAGCCTGTCTTAGTGTTATTTTTGCCTTTTCAGTATTTTTCCTCTGCGTTTTGCTTAGTTGTAAGCATAGTATATATCTTTGCTGCTGCCTGATCTTCAAAGTCCGCATCTTTAATGATTCTTTAACATTTCACTGAGTGGATATAGCATAATGTACGGTCCCTTAGAATATTTCAGTTTCTGTCTCTAAGTTTTAATATATACGGCTCTCGTAATGATAGATTGGATATATTTACAAGCTAAGAATGCCAAATCAAAATATTAGGTGAGCAGGCCACACAGTGAGCAGGCTGCACAGGACATGCCCTGTAGTCAGGCTCGCAGTCCGATCATCAGGATAGAGTGCAGGGCCTGTGGCCACAGATAGGAGTGTTGGCTGTGTTTACACATGTTCCTTCCAAGTTTTGACCCATCACACCTGAGGAGAGAAGCGGGGTGGGCAGAGGAAGGATCCTAGCATTGGGATTCTGAAAACCTTGTTACCAGCTGAGCTCTGTGTCCTCTGGGCAGCATTGGACTTTAACTGTTCTGAACATTTTATCTGTACAGAGGATGTCTGTGGCATGTGATTCTTATAAAAATCAAAAGATATCCAACAAGGGGGACAAATAGATGTGTGGGATTTTTACTGTGGGATTGGCCCTGAAATTTTCTTGTGCTGTTTCATTAAATCCTTAGAGCAACCCTGTAAAAGGAGCTGAAAGAGACTAACTTGCTCCAAGTCACACTGCTAAGTGCTGAGATCCAAACTCAGTTTGGAGTTCTGTTCTCCCAAGTCCTTGCCCTGAGGCTTCCTAGAGAGACATCTTCCCACCAGATACCTTTGTGCTCTGAAATCATGCACAAGGGCCAACCCCAAGGTCTCTGTACCGAGGCAAGTTCAGGGAAGAAAAGCACTTAGAAAAAGATGGACATATTGAGCTGTTTAGAATATTTTTTGTTATTGACCAATATTTCGTAAAACTCATTAAATCTCTGATAAAGAAATAGTGAATACAGTTGCTAAAACCTGACTGCAAGATGTGACCTTGGCATGAGACAGGCCAAAATAGGTGGTTCTATAAATGGAGAGCTGACTAAGACCCTGTGAGAGGATGCATGGATGGGGTGGGTATCAAAAAAGCAGACTTTGTAAGGAATTGGGTGTTACATCCCAGGGCTGCGGCATGCCTAAGGAGATGTGAATGTTACAGAGTTGGAAGGAAAGAGGGAGAGGCCAGTGGTTCTTCTGGCAACATGAGGATGAACCAGAATGAGAGGTAACCCAGGGCTCAGGGACTTGCTGGGCGATGTTTGCAGCCTGTTAGACAAATAGGAAAGGGAGCTATCTTATTACAGATGTGGAATTAACCAGATTTATTTATTTATTGGAATTCTCTTTCTAAAATACATGTCAGAATGTGTGAGTATTGTGTAGGGTTAGGGGCCTTTGTTTTGGAATTGGTCTTCTGGGTTTGAAACCCTAGCCCATGTGACCTCGGATAAAGTTACTTAAGCTACCTAAGCTTCATTTGATTTATCTATAAGATGGGAAGAACTATAGTAGCATTCATAGCGTTGATTGGTTGGGAGGTATTCTATATAATAAAAGGCTAATATGCAAAATGTCCCCTTGGAAGTTCGACCAAATGGGAGTTCGACTGCTCGCTGTGATGTGTGCTGACCACCAGTGGGTGGCGTGGAACTAAGGAAGGTCTCAACCAGCAGCCAAAAGGCCCCGATTGGCCCTGATCACCGGCCAGGCCTAGGGACCCTACCTGTGCACGAATTTCATGCACTGGGGCTCTAGTAAATTAAATAATGCATGTCAGTGGCTTCAAACAGAGTAAGTATTAGACCTTCACTGCCTATTGGATAATGTCCTAAACTCTTGTAGTCATCTATGATCTGGTGCAGTTCCACTCCATAATCCCTATGCCAGAGGTCCAAATGCCTTCCAGAGCCTGGCAGGTAAAATGCAAGCTAGGGGAGGCGATGGCAAACTGGGGGCCATGTGCTCCACCTAAAGGAGCACCTGCTGCTCACTCTGGTAGGCATTAGCTTTGTGGGAGAGAGCCCAGCGTGGTGCCCTTTGAAGGGATGCTGGAAACCTGGAATTTACATGAAACCTCCCGGTTATTACATGTGGACAATTAAATCAGAATCCTTAACACTGCAACACCAAGCAACGCCCATGGGCAGGCTGGATATGGTTGTCAGCTTGCACTCCCTGCTTCAGGCCCTTGCCCAGCCTTGCAGCCTGCTTACTCGTCCTTGAACAGACTTGATTCCCTTGGGCATAGTGCTTTTAGATGTGCCAGCCACTCTGCCTGGATTGGCCTTGGTGCTTTCTCTTTTGAACTGGTTTGTTCTTTTAGACTTGGCTCAACCTAACTATTTTCTCTGAACTCACCATTTCCTCCTTTGTGATGTTGTAGTTCTTACAGTTCGTTCTATTCTAGTACTTACATCTGTAAGCAATGTCTACTCATTCGCTTGTTTATTTAGAAAAAAATAATTATGAAGCACCAAAATGTGTACCAGCTACAGCTGTAAACTAGAGTCCTGCTTCCCTGGTGTTTCTGGAGTGATGGTCGTGTGTCAGTCCTCCCATAAGAGGGTGAGTGAGCTCCTTGAGGGCCGGGACCATGTGGTAGTTGTCTGGTTTCCTTAGCAATTAGCCCAGGGAGTCTGATACCCAGTGTATTAGTGTCTTCTTGCTACTGCAACACATTTTCACAAATCTAGCATCTTAAAGCAATACAAACATACTACCTTACAGGTTTGGAAGTTTGGAGCCTGAAATGGTCTCACTGGACTAAAATCACGGGGCTGGCAGGACAGCATTCCTTCTGGAGGCTCTAGGGGAGAAAGAACTGGTTCCCTTGCCTTTCCCAGTTCCCAGTGGCTGCCTGCATTTCTTGGCTATGGCCGCATCCTCCTCCATCTTCAAAGCAAGAAGCGTAGCACCTTCAAATCTGTCTCCGTGATTTTTTTTTTTGCCTTCCTCTTCTTGTAATCATCTTGGGCCCACCTGGATATTCCAGGATACTCTCCCAATCTCAAGGTCATCTGATTAACAACTTACATAATTCTATCTGTACCATTCATTCCCCCTTGCCATGTCATGTGACATATTCACAAGTTACGGGGATTAGAACATGGGCATTTTGGGGGAGACCATTATTCTGCCTACCACAGCTGGGAAGATGAAAGAATGAATGAATGATGAATGAGACTCTCATAGAGTGGGAACTAGTGTTATGCTAGCCACAGGAAGGCAGAAAAGGTAGTAAAAGTCTCAGACCTGAAGGAGTTGGTGACCAACTGAATTGCATCTTGTGGTGGTGGCTGTGATTGGGGGTTTTCCAAACCTTCCTTCTCAGATGAACTGTTCTCTGACTTTTACAATCTTTCTCTGACATCCCGGAGTAAGATCAGACCCCTTGTTTTGTGCTCTTAAGGTACCCTCCTTCCGCATATTTTATACTTGTGCTGCTAGTTCAATCAATGCCTTTCACTAGATTTCACAGGTAATGAGTGGGATAAGACATGTCTGTCTTCTTTCTCAGGGTATAGCATTGAACAGAGTGCCTGGCATATGGGCGGCGTTGAAAAGTTTCTGGAGAGAATAAATGAATGGTGAATGAGGAAGTAGAGAAACATGAAGTGTTTAAACCACCTGCTTCTTGTTCTGCATGGGAGCTTTGTTACCTGGGACCGGGGACTTTCTGACGTGGCACACAAAGTCGGGAGGGAAAGCATAGGGGGGCAAAGAGCCTTGATCAGAGTCTCAACAGAGTCCACGACCAACACTTGGGAAAGGAGCCCTGCTCTAAGCGTGCAGAGCTCAGAGACGAGGGAACCTGGCCACCGTACTGACAAGGAGCGCAGTGACGGGGAAAGACGCAGGCTTCTCCGATAACGCTAACTGGGCTTTGCATCCTTTCCCATCTCCAGATGAGGACAGTGTGCTGCCTCTCCTGGCACAGGACTCGAACTCCAAAGCTCGGAGGGGCATTTTAAGAAGAGCCGTCTTTTCTGAGGACCAGAGAAAGGCGCTGGAGAAAATGTTTCAGAAGCAGAAATATATCAGCAAAATAGACCGGAAGAAACTTGCCATCAACTTGGGACTAAAGGAATCACAGGTACTGAGGAGCAGGAAGATGGTCACCGCTCCCGATTTCTGAGTGAATACGAGGGGAGCCATCCACTTGGCAAATACTTGTTGTACCAGGCTGGACCCTGAAGCATTATTGAAATTATTTTCATAAGTTTTTTAGTGGGTGCAAATATAGGTCACAATTCCTATTTGGAAATGGGTTCTTTTGCCAGAGGTCTAGGTTTTTGCCTCATTAATTCTTGTAAATGTATTGTAAATGCTAAGGATGTGGCATTTACTTCATTAAACTGCTCTGCTTTTATTTGAGAAAAGCAGGCTACTTAATTCCCTACAAAAACAGGAACCAAGTTTCCTGTCTTTTTCTTAATTTTTAATCCAAAACCAAGGTATGAATGAGTGAGTCATAAGTAACTCTTAATAGATTTCATTATTTTGTACTTTGGGTTTATGACAAGTATAGTTAAGCAATTTCAAATCTGCAACACTTGCAAACCTTTCTTGCACAGTGATGTTTTATATAATTTTGGATGAGTCATTGTGGCCTTTTGGGAGGCACAGAATACTCCATTTAAAGATTTGGCCTGCTAATTATAAACAAGACACTAGCATTTACCTTATCACCATATGAAATTAAGCACTATAATCGTCCACATTTGATAGGTGAGGAAATGTGGAGAAGTAAACAAAGAGCCAAAGCCCCACCCCAGGCAACCTGACTGGAGTTTGCATTCTCCTAGAGCGGTGATGGCGAACCTTTTGAACTCGGCGTGTCAGCATTTTGAAAAACCCTAACTTAACTCTGGTGCTGTGCCACATATAGAAATTTTTTGATATTTGCAACCATAGTAAAACAAAGACTTCACTTTTTGATATTTATTTTATATATTTAAATGCCATTTAACAAAGAAAAATCAACCAAAAACATGAGTTCGCGTGTCACCTCTGACACACATGTTGTAGGTTCGCCATCACTGACCTAGAGCCTCTGTGTGCAGCTGGGAAGGGTGTTCACTGCACAACGCACTTGGCTAAGGGGATGGCAGGGACTGGTTCTCTGCTCTCCCAGCTGGCTTTCCTGGTGCAGGGCTACATCCACATGAATTTTTTAAATCAGCATAAAGGCACTGAAGAGCTAGCAGAGGCTCTGTTCTGTTCTTCCTTTGATACAGATGACCTGGTTGCTAACTTTGGCTTTTATTTCAACCAGTTATCTTTGGGTGAAATTCTCCTTAACCCTGCTTGCTTTCCTTAGGGAAGTGGTCTGTTAGTTTCCCCCTCCCCACCCCAACTTTTTCTCGTCCTAGGAAGCAGTATGCGGTGTGGTAGAGGGTCATTGGCCTACATCAGCCAGGCTGTGTTTTGCTCATTGTGTGGTACTGATGAGTTCACTAACCTTAACTAACTGCTCTGTACCTCAGGCTCTAACTTAAAAAACAGGGGGCAGTGAAGAAATTCTTTCTATGTCACAGGAATTTTGGGTACATGACAGAGAAATCAGGAGCTATGTCTTGATGGTCTACTGTGTGCAAGACATTGTGCTAGGTAAGCAGTAAGAGGGAACATCCGTAGGTACTGATTTAGATACACCACTCCCACCCTCCCCACCCCCACAACTAGGAATTCATACAACCAACGGGGAAAACAAAGCAGAAGCTCGTTAACAGTGTAAGACAATGGTGTGGGAGACATCCTCTGGCAGGTTAGATATTCTGCCAAAGAAAGGAGGGCGATCAGTGGTCCTCAGGGTTGTATCTCTAGAGCCTCACAGTAATTCCCATCTCTGGAAAGGACAGCCGGATGGCTGGTCTGCATACACGTGGGGAGTTAGTGATGGAACTGTCTGATCCTCAGAGGAATTGTGGGGCTTGAGTGAGGAACACAGAGGGGTGAGTAGGCCTGGCCTGCATCCCATTAGTATAGATAAGAAGCTCCAGAACCAGAGGGGAGAAAATGTGCAGGTTTGGGAGGTCAGGGACCTCTGGTTAAATAGGAACTTGAAGTAGGTATCAAACGTGGCTAGGTTTGCCCTAGGTGGTTTGGATCAGTGGATAAAGCTGCAGACTGAAGGCTCCCAGGTTTGATTCCAGTCAAGGGCACATGCCAGGGATGCGGGCTCAATCCCCAGTAGGGGGCATGCAGAAGGCAGTCAGTCAATGATTCTCTCTCTCATTGATGTTTCTATCTCTCTGAAATCAATAAAAATATATATTATAAAAGTAGCTAGGTTTGATCTGATGGTGCTCTGAGAAGGGGTGAAAATCTCTGACAATACATATGGTCTTTTAAAAAATTGACTCAGAAAAAAGAATGCAGCAAGCATAGCAAAGAGTTTTTTTATGAGGGAATAGCATAGTCTCTCCATTCAAGAAGACAAACTGTTGTTATCTTCCAGTTCCCATCCAGAGCACATAGTTTTACACAATTGATTACATTGTTTTTAAAATTCAAGTACCTCAGGGATGAATGCTTTTTATTTTACTGAATTTGGTGAACATCTCAGAAGTAATTTGACATTTTGTTACTTGCATATACACCTAATTACACATTTAATACATGGCATTTCTATGGTAAATTCAAACAAAAGAGAAATTGGAAAAGTTAGAAATGAAAACTAAGCTACTCCCCTAACAATCCAACTCCTTGGTTACTACTGTCATTTGTAAATGGCTCTTGTTTGAGTTTATTGACATGTCATGTGTTTTGTTTTGTTTTAATATATATTTTTATTGATTTTAGAGAGGAAGGAAGAGGGAGAGAGAGAGATAGAAACATCAATGATGAGAGAGAATCACTGATCAGCTGCCTCCTGCATGCCCCCCACTGGGGATCAAGCCTGCAACCCGGGTGTGTGCCCTTGACCTGACCGGACCCATACCTGGGACCCTTTGGTCCGCAAGTCGACGCTCTATCCACTGAGCCAAACCGGCTAGGGCATGACATGTCATGTGTTTTAAAAAAATAAATTTGTATGTGTGTTGTATATGCACTAACATTGCGTAATGACTACCACGTGACCTTACATTTGATGTCGTTATCCTGCCCATGATTCTATGAGACAGTTGCTTTTATTATTGCTAGTTTACAAAGAAGGAAGCTGACACCTAGAATGGTGTATGTATATTTTTAAATAAAAATGGGATGATACTATGCAGATAATTTGACTTTTTCTGAAGGACAATATAAGCCACCTGTATAACCAGCACACAGATTTCACAGTAGTTTCTCCCCATTCAATGTCACGGCTGCATCCTTCCAATGTCATCCATACAGCTTACTTCATTATTTTTTAGTGTCTCATACAAACAGTTGCATAGATATACCATAATTCATTGAGTCATTCTCAACTTTTGTTTTATTTTATTTATCTTTATTGTTGAAAGTACTACAGATGTTCCCCTCCCCTCCATTAGCCATTCTCAACTTTAAGTTACTTCTAAGTTTCACTATTGCATATCTTCATGCACTTTTAAAATATTTCTGGAAGATAGGGAACTAAGATTGGAATTTATATGTTAAAGTGTATGTACATTTTAAATTGTGATAGATTAAAGAATTCCTTTCCAAATATATTATTGTATCAAAATACGGAATTATATTTGCACTCTTAATAACAGTTTCTTTTTGCAAATCTTCCACTATTTATAATTTTTTAAACATTGTCAACTTCACTGGCAATGACTTTTTAAAAATTTTCCTAATTATCAGACTTGAGGGTCTTTTAATCATTTTACTGGCTATTCTAAATCTTTGAATTGGCCTTTTCATGGTCAAACCATTTTTTTCTATCATATTTCCTTTTTGTTGATATGTTGCAATTATTCTGGCTGTTCATCAAAATTTTGGAATATTATGGTTAGTAACATTTTCTGTTACAGCTGTTGCAAAAATCCCTCCAAGTTTGTGGTGTTGTTTTTTTGTGGTTAAAATATACATATCATAAAGTTTACCACTTTAACTTTTTTAAATGTACAATTCAGTGGCATTAAGAACATTCACACTGTTGTGCAACTATCACTTACATTCACCTCAAGAACTTTTTTCATCTGGTAAAACTGAAACTCTGTACCCATTAAACAATGTCTCCCCATCCCTCCCACCCCAAGCCCCTGACAACCACCATTTTACTTTCTGTGTCTATGAATTTGACTACTCTAGGTAAGTTATATGAGTGGAATCATACTATATTTGTCCTTTTATGACCGGCTTATTTCATGTAGCATAATGTCTTCCAGGTTCATTCCTATTCCTATGGTAGTACATATCAGAACTTTCTTATTTTTCATACATTCAGTGATATTTTATTGTATGTATATACTACATTTTGTTAATCCATTCATCAATGAATACCCGGATTTCTTCCATTTTTGGCTTTTGTGAATAATGCTGCTAAGAACATAGGTATACAAATATCTCTTTGAGTCCATGTTTGTTTGTTTTTTAAATTATAGGTGGCATACAATATTAGTTTCAGGTGTACAACATAGTGATTTGACACTTGCATATTTTACTACGTGATCACCACAATAAGTCTAGTAACCAGTTGTCACCATGCAAAGTTACTGCAATATTATTGATTATATTCCCTGTGCTGTACACTCAAAATGCCTTTTTTACTTTATAGCTGGAAGTTTATACCTCTTATTCCCCTTTACCATCTTCACTTATTCCCCAATCTTGATCTTTTTTGCTCAGGCACAGTTGGCTACCCTATAGGTAAAGAGGGAGGTTCATAGAAAAAAGAGACTCCCGTAGGGTGGTCGGAAAGTATGGCTCAAATTAGAAACCACAATCATAAGTACTTTTAGGTTAATGACAATCAATTGTTATCTATTGAGCCTAATTATTCCAGTTTGATAAATTCTGGGAGTAATCAAACTTGGAAACTGTGTAATGCCTGAAGTTTATCAAAACATTGTAAAATATATTCTTAATTTAGTCTCCCAAAGTTCCTGTTGAGACCCAAATGCTTATTAGTCTGGGCGCTAGAACGGGACAGTCATGTATTCTAGTCTAAGCACCCTGTGACCTGGAACTATTTATCGCTCTGAGCCTCAGTGTTCTTGCATGCTAATGAGGACTTCTTGAAGACATTCTGAGGATCAAATTTCGTAACCCATGTAGAATGCATGGCCTGACCCTGGTACAAAATAAACACTCAGATGCTATTACCAGTAGGTAACGTTTCCTTTGAATAAATAATGTAGCACAAACGAAATGATTTAAAATATTGGAGAGAGTTAAATCAGTCTTGAAAGATATTGGACTCATATGACGTCACCAATTTACCACAGTTGTCTTTGTTTTTAAGTATATGTGGGGATATTGTACTAAAGTACTTTCTCAGTTATTTTTGGAGGAGCCCAAGTCAAAAGCCACAAGGATTTTGCTAGGCTGGCTTTCACAAGGTAGTCTGTAGAAGGCCCAATAGGAGAAATGAATAGTGTCAAATGCTGAAGTGAATGAATGTCAAATAACTGAACATTTTATCCAATTATCTTATCAATAGGTGAAAATTTGGTTTCAGAACAGAAGGATGAAGTGGCGGAATTCCAAAGAGAAGGAAGTGCTTTCCAACAGGTGTGCCCAAGAAGTGGGCCTTCAGGAGGACCCCCTCTCGTGCTCCGCTCTGGGCTTCCCTTCTCCGTGTCCTTCCCTCTGGGACAGCTCCCAACAGCACTCGAGTCCCAGGTGGAGGGAGAATTTTCCTGAACCTCCAGAAAGACTAATCCAGGAGAGTTCGGGGGCACAGCCCCCAGAAGCCAATTCACTGCGAGGTGCCTTATATCTGGGTTCTGAAGAGGAAGCTGGAGACAAGGGCGTACTTACCGTCTGAATGGAAGCGTTCCTCCACGTTAATTTAAAAGAACACTTAACTCATAATGTTTGGACTCTAAAGCCAACTAGCTTGTGCCTCATCAGTGCCTAAAACCTAACACCGTTGGAGTGATGCAGGAACTAACGCTTTAGGAAGCTTTTTCCAGTGTTCTGTATTTGGGTCTTAAGACTCAGACTTAATTTGTAAGTGGAATAGAATCTCCCAGAAAGTATGATGGAAGTGAAAAATGAGAGTGGTAGTTGGCTCAGTCCACATACGTGTATATATATATGATGTATCTCTATGTGTATATGTATATAAATAGTCATTAAAATACATTAGTAGAAACACCAGTTCCTCTTTAAATCCTGCATTGAGCAAATTTATCTCCTTTTACATGAAGAAAAACCAACCATTGACCAAATGTTATTAATTTTTAAAAAATACTATAAAAGTTGGATTTTAGTCCAAATTTGTATATCATCAGAACATGTTTTTAAAATTTTTCTATTTTCTGGTTTCATTCAGGAACCAGCTGTAAATGAGTTTTAACAACTCAGCATTCCCAATCAAATGAGCCACTGCTGGATACATACATTGAAAGTGTATGTTTAAAATTAATCCAACAAGCAAACTAGAAGAATTTCTGAATGTACCTGTTAGTATTCTTAATTTCCAAGTCTCTGGATTTTATCAGGCCGTCAGTGAGGGAGGTACCCATTTAACCAATGATTATCTTTTGAGCTCTTTTCTCTAAGGATGGGCCTTAATCAGGGTTTGCAAAATAAAATGCCTCTAAGGGCCTGACAGATTAAAGCGGGGGAGGCGGCATGACCCACCTAAAGATAGTTGAATTTTTTAAAATAGTGTGTTGGCCAAACAAACCATCTGTGCCAAGCTATCTGTGACCTCCAGCCAAGACTTCAAGAAGTGTCACAGTTTTTTAAATGTTCCAATTGGACTTCAGAACACAATATCGAAGGAATCTATAGTGATTTCTCTTTGCACTTCCACGTGTATAGACTTGATTTTTCCACTTAGGTGGTATACACTATATATATTAGGTTATTTTTATGTATTAACAAACACCATACAGATGTTTTATGTTTCTGAAGTACCCTGAAATAGTATTATTATAAAATTGCCTTTCTGGTAACGATTTGCTTAGTTAATCTAGAATTTTTATTCCAGGTCCAAGAAAAAATTATGTTTTACTTTGAAGGAAATGAGGCAGAGAAAAGGAAATGATATGGTTTGAACTAGGTTATTATTAATCTGCAGACAAAAAAACAGTATTAGAAGTTCGTGACGTGGCATCTTGTTAGTGAGAAATCTGCATAAAGAGAGTGGCTTCTAATTTGCTTATGTTTTTAACTATCGACTTGGAAGGGTTAGAAAAGAGTCTTTCACTGTGCTGTACACCTGAAACTAATATAATGTTGAATACAGCTGTAATTGAAAAATAAAACAGTACAAGAAAAGAAAAGGTAATATTTCAGAAGGTAATAGTTTTAGTCAGCAGCAGGAAATTATTTTCTATGAATGGAATTTGAATTGGTGTATGCTGGCTTGTGTCTTTATTGCAAGATCTTTTATTTAAAAGTCATCTCAGAAGAAGCTTCTCAGTGCCTCTTTGCGGGAAGTAGAGGCAGCGATCTTCTGACAACAAAGTACATTTTTAAATTAAAATGCTCTTCATTTTTAAGTTATTAGTTTCAGGTGTCCAACATAGTGATCAGACATTTATATAACTTACGAAGCAATCACCCTGAAAAATGATTTATAGCGTGGTTTCTTTTCTTTATTTGATGTTAACCTCATTTACATTTAATGGGTCCTTTCTATGTGCTTTGCCTTTAGGGTGGGTTAACTCATGACAATAACCTTCTGAGTAGGCACTCTTACTATCAGGATTCCTGTTACCCAGACAGGGGCCTGAGGCAATGTGGTTAGGGTGATTGCCCATGGTCATGAGGTTAATAATTGAAATTTGGACCCTGAAGTTTCAAATCTTGAAATCTTACCAACTACGTGGGGGTGCATACCCCTCTGGGATGCATTGTAAGACGTAACATTTTGAGGATTGTAGTGAAATTTATTTTAAAAATTCAGAACCACATTGTACTTTACAAGCTCTTATTTGGGGAATGGTTTTCCTTCAGTATTCTCTTTTCTATTCATTTTAAAGCATTGGTTCTCAACCTTCCTAATGCCGCGACCCTTTAATACAGTTCCTCATGTTATGGTGACCCCCAATTTCATTGTTACAAATTGAACATAATTAAAGCATAGTGATTAATCACAAAAACAATGTGCAATTATATATGTGTTTTCCGATGGTCTTAGGCCACCCCCGTGAAAGGGTCGTTCAACCCCCAAAGGGGTCGCGACCCACAGGTTGAGAACCACTGCTCTATAGAGATTAACTCCATAGGAGCATAAAATGGAAATTTTTAAAAATCACTCATTGCTAATAAGTAGTTATCTACAGTCCATTTCTATTGAGATTACTGGGAAAATCAAGTGAGAGAAACTGTCATGGCCATTGATTACCCACGTTTTAGAAGGAGGCTAATGGTACTTAAGTGATCTTCCCCCAGGTTTTACCTTATGCTCAGGCTCAGCAGAGGTTTCTTTTTGTAAGATTGGCTTGATATTTGAATATGCAAATAAATCTTCTAATTGGTTTCCACTTTGGAATGTGTTAGGCTTAGGAAAAGTACTCTTTGGATTAATATATTAGGAATACCTAGGAAACACAAGCATATACACATGGTACACATACATATGCCCGCTATACCTTTAACTTGGCCTTCACTTACCTGAGTTGTGGGAAAGAACTGCAGAGCTTGATATTCTAATTGAACAAGGGTCTCCCTTCGCTCTTACCTTGTGCTCTGCTAGCCCTCCATTCGCCTACAGTGTACTTACAGGTGTATTTTCCTCTCTTATCTACCTGCTATCCTTTTCTCCATGTGATCACACATTAGTGTATTTGTTGCTTCCCAGACAAATACTGCTCTAGTGAGCCCCAGGACCATAGAAGCCTGGAGGCAAAAGTATTTAAAAATTTTTTAAGGAAATTGTCAAATGGATCTTAAGCAGATGAGAAGGACAAAATGGTGAGAACCATCCTCTAGCATCTATCAAGGGGACTACTTTATAAAGCTAAATATAAAGGGCTGGACGTCTGTAAGCAGGTACGGAATGAACACTGGATGTGAAGACAGAGAACACCACAATTACTGATGTTTAAAAGGCAATTCTTTTCTCAGTAATGAGGTGGTTTGAGTAGGGAACCTAGTTATTTAGGCCAATGATTCTGAAACTTTAAAAATCCAGACGCATGAACAGGCCACACCTTCCAATCAATTTTGAATATGTGCTCAGATTTGGACATATATTTCATACGTACTCTTCAACATCCATACCTCCCTCTCTACCCCTGAGGATCATTATGCATATAATTTTTTTCCACTTTTAAAATATAAAATCACAACTACATATGCTTGTCCAAACCATACATGTTCCTTCTGGCTTGCCTTATTCCCCATTCTGATGCATCCTTTTATTTTCTTTTTAAATTAAATTTATTGGGGATAACATTGGCTAATAACACTATAAAAGTTTTAGGTATACAATTCTATAATACAGCGTGTGTATGTTGAGGCATCCTTTTAAAATCTACATACTTCCCAGCATGCTCCACCACTCATCCCTTGGTGAGCAGTGATTTTATCAAGGTCTGCTAGCCTTTTTTTAAAAATTGAATTTATTGAAGTGACATTGGTTAATAACATATAAGTTTCCAGTATACAATTCTATAATACATCATCTGTATCTGCTAGCCTTTTAATGCAACAAAGTTCATTACATTTTGTTCATAAGCTTTGTGTTAGATATTGCCTCTGCAGTCATCTGAAATCCACAAATATATTTTTTTTCTTTCTGGACTTCAACACTTATTGGGCATTGTCCTAGACTCTCTGTAACCAAATGCGGGACAGCATGGTTCTGCCACTCAAGGAACTTATAATCTAGTCTCCTTGCCAAGCAACATTTGAATTGTTCCATGCCATGGGTGACTGGAACCAGTAAATTTGGGGCAAAAAATAATATAACATCCTCCAAAACACCCATTTCTTCATTTACAGTGGTGGTGGTGGTGGTCGTGATAGGGTTAAGTACTCCACTATTCAGAAAAATACAAGCTACTTTGCATTGCTGGAGTTCTATGCTATCTCCATTCAGCTACATTGGTCAAAAGAAGAGTCAGGAAGAGTCTGAGGGAAGAATTCAATAACTTTCTTTTGTTCATAGTGCACTCTACTGTCTATTTCTTTCTCTCTTCTCAGCCTCAGATCAGCCTGTACTCATGGTGGGTGGGAAGAGTGAAGTAAAGGTAAATAACACAAGTAGGGGGATATAAGGATGATGAGTATTCTTGAATATACAGGGAAATTTTTGCAGAATTTATATATTTTATAAACCATTTCTGAAATAAACAACCTTGTTTAATACCACAATTAACTACCTTAAAGACATAGCACTAGCCCCACAAAGATGGTTGTTAGCTTCCAGGTTTAGTTGGGTTCCATTACATTATTATTTTGGTTATAAAAATTATACATGCCCATTATAAAGAAACACACCTGAAAGTAGCTAACAAAGAAAAATGTATGTGTAATTCTGCCATTTGGAGATAATCAATTTAGCCCTATTGTGAAAAATTTTCACTTTTGAATGTATGCATATGTAAATATGTGTGTCTAAACAAATTGTCCTGCTTTTTTAAACTTAACTTTATACAGAGAACATTTTTCCATGCCATTAAAAATTCTTTGAGACTGTTTATGATGGTTGCGTAATATTCCATTGTTACTCCTTCACTTCTTGAGGTGGACCAGTGGATGAGGTCAGGAAGTGGGAGGTCATGGAAAGAATGATCATGGGCTCCTGTACCATAAAATGTACTGAAGAACAACAATCTGATGCTTATTATTTCTTTTAACTCAATAAAATCTCAGCAAACATAAAACTATGAAAATTGAGGGAACTTGGGCTTATACTCTCAGTGGCGTTGAATATCAAGGAGTACCAAACATACCCAATAGAGAGCCTCTTCCAAAAGATCACTGTAAAGTAGATTAAAACAGCCCATTAATCCAAAATCCAAGGGAGCGGACACACTTGGATTTTAGTACATAGCCAGCAGCAAACATACTAATGTAGGGTAATATTCTACCTCTCTTTGTGCTTTACAGTCATTTAAAAAAAATTTATCTTTATTGTTGACCCCATTCACCAGGCTCCCACTCCCCCCTTCCCCCCACGCCTTCACTGCACTTTAATCTGTGTCCATGGATGATGCATATCCTATATAATAAAGAACTAATATGCAAATGATCATCACACCCTCATGCCCTCGCACCCTCTTGCCAGAACTGCTCAGACACTCAACACTGGGGAGAGGAGAATGGGGACCAGCCAGGCACAAATGAGCTTGCGAGAGAGGAATGGGGACCAGCCAGACTGTGGCCCAGGAGAGGGACAAGCCGCCGCCCATGGTCCCAGGCGCCAGCGGCTGCACTTGTGTCTGCGGCCCAAGAGAGGGACAAGCCGCCTGCCTCGCAGTCCTGGGCACCTGCAGCTGCAGTCTGGGCGAAGCCACCTGCCCACAGCCCCATGTGACTGTGGCTGGCCCAGGTGAAGTTGGCCTGGGTCCTGGGTGCCTGCCACCGGCCAGAGGGAGAGATTCCTGGGTCCCGGGTGCGGGGCGAGGTAGAGGCGGTTAGGGACAGTCAGGTCAGCAG